AAATCGGGTTGCGACCAGAGTCACGGAACAGATTAAATTCGTAACCCGAGGTACCACTGTAGCTTGGTGAAATGAGCATAAAGTAACAAAACTAAATGTAATAAGATAAGTACAACTTTTTTTATTTAGGAAATAAAAATCAAATGCCACAAATTGAGATGATCTATTCTGTTCTGCTTGCTTTCTAAAGTTTCTGGCAATATGGACAATGAGTATTCAACTTGATATCATATACTGAGGCACCCAGTATAACTGTCCATTGGGGAATTTGCTCCTACATCTCAAAAACTAGTGCAAGGGCGTCTGCCCAACCACAGCCCCAGTGTCTTTACAGGAAGACACAAACTCTCACTTACTTTCTGAAGCTTTCTTTTAAAAATAAGAATCCACAAATTAAAGATGATGACCAGAAAAGATAATCCTGACAAGAAATTGAGATTTTTTTCCCCAGGAACTGCTGAAAATAATCTCTCTCTTGTCTAAGGCAATCCACTTGCCAGTGACTTTGGGCAGCTGACACTGCTACAGCACATGAAAAGAAATCAAGACGAAAGGTAGGAATTGGATTCAGGAGCACATTCACTGGAAGGTGCATTTCCTGTTGAAAAATTATATTTAGTCCTAGAAAATTCTGATGGGGTCTTCTACACAGGTGCATCTCCACTTTGTACAATACATAGAGACCACAAACAAAGCCAAAGCCCAGAAACAGTGTTGAGTCATAGAACATATTCTGTTTCTGAGAACACCTGAAGTACAGACCTGAAATAAATACAAAACTCACATTGTTTGGATTGAGATTTTACAGGTGAGAGTCAGAACAAAAACAATTGAGCAACTTAACAACAACATTAAGACACAGAGAAGATAATAATTTTGACATCCTCTGTATCTTCTGAGAGCAGTGTGACCCATCAATTTATCAGCCATACTTCCTACCCTTTATTTTACTTTCCTCTTAGCAACAATCTCAGATAGATGCTAATGTGTGAAGACACATTAGGTGTTAAAAGCTAAGAGTTGTGTGTGGCTTTTGGTCCATCTTGTACCTCCTCAATTAGTTTGCTGGCATTGTTTATGTATGTATTTTATTTATTTATTATTAAACTTATATGTCGCCCATCAACCCAGAGGATGACTCTGGGCAGCTAACAATTAAAAACCAAGATAGTAACAACAATAAAAATATAAATACCCCCAGATTAAAACACAAATAACAAATCTATAAAAGCAATATACAAATCAAGAAGATGGGGGAAGCAGTATCAATCATTCCATGAGCCAGTTCCAGCAATGCAAGCCCCCAGGCCATCTGGCATAGCCATGTATTATGAGCAGTAGGCCACACTGTTCCATTCAATTTCACAGTGGAGATTCTATACACTTATTTCGAGCTCCATTCCAGAAGAAAATTAGGATATAAAAAGGATAAAATAAAAATAAAAAGGTAGTCTTTATATTTTACCTGCTGTGATAGTCTTTTGCTAGAAAGTTGGTAAAGATTTACTATCTTCCCTGAGAGTAATTTTGCTGATTTGAAACCTTCTGAAAACAACATTATTTCAGTAATGAGTTCATAATCTGGTATCACCATTGACATAGGACGAAATAATGATTTTAAGTTGTCTGGAAGTTCTACACGTCCTTTGTATCTTAAAAGGAAAGGTAATATCATCACATTCATTAAAAACACTTCAATATGTTAGCACAGTACAAATACAAATTCCTTTCAACAAAGGTACAGTATTAGCCTAAAAAAAGTAGAGTTTACTATAGTTTAGAAAATAATTATATGATCATTATTATAATAGCAGATCTATGGTAAGGAAAATAAGTGATGTTTAAATGCAAGTGAAAAATTATCTAACTTTCTGAAAATGATTATTCAGGTAGATACAGAATAAAAAAATAGTGGTAATTTAAAACCACAACATTTGGAAAATGGGAATGCAATTCAGTGGCAGTGCATATTCCTTGCATTAAGAAGATCCCATGATCAATCCCTGGAATCAACAAGTTGGGCTAAGAAATATTATTTTCTGAAATCTTGAAATCTGCAAAGCTATGGACATTGTTGAGCTAATTGTATCAAAACTACCATTTCATACAACACAGCTTCATGTATTTATAAAAAAACCAACAAAAACTTTCCTGTTCTAATATTATGGAACAATGATAGCTACAGTTATCACTTACCCAGGATTCATGGTAATAAAAATTGCACATTGTTGTTTCAGACGGATTTCTTTTCCTTCCAGTATAAATCTGTGTTAAATGTTATATTACTTATTTTTGAAATATTTAAAATAAACAAAATTGCAGTTATTTTTGTATGCTATCCTAGTCCGTCTGTCTGTTCATTCATTCATTCATTCATTCATTCATTCATTCATTCATTCATTCATTCAGCTTCAGGCTTCCTACAGCCAAAGCTCTCAAAATGATAACCAAAATAATTCAGTTAAATATATGGAATGTTTACAAAGATACTTTTTAAACTTAAATTTAAAATATCAAAAGCAAAAAAATATTTTGAAATTCCCAGGAAAAAAAACAGCTCTAACATAACAGTTTTAAGATACAACTAGGCAATAAGTAGGACAACAAATTATGAAACCAGAGAGGATGATAAAAGGTTTTGCCTTGTACAAAAAACAGCAGGAGGTAAATACTGTGGCCCTAAGCTGCAAAGGAACTTACATAGCACCTCGAATTAAGCCTAGAAAGTTAGATACCAATGAAGATGGTACAATATTAGCATGTTGATAATTAATATTTATGTATGCATTCACACATAAGGGGTTTGCATGTGCATAGACCACTATTAGGAACTTTCCTCCACACGGCCTTGTAGGTAAACCACTGAGTCCCCCTTGCCAAGGAGGGCTTGGGTCACCTTAAACAGGGTCACCAGATGGCTATCCACAAATGCAATAAGTGCAGAGAAGTACTGACATTTCACTGCCCTAATCATTACAAGGTAGGTCTTTATAGCAGCTCTTACCTGTATTCAGTCAAGTTTGCTCTTCATCGACCTCCAGCAGCATTCTAGGCATCTTTTCACCCGCCTCAACTCCCTCAGCTCCTCCATAAACCAGGGGGAGCTGTGGGATCAGTAGGTGGAGAAAGGCTGCATAGGCATGATCTGATCCAAGGCAGCTGCTGCTGCCCTTACATTCCAAGTAGCAGTTAAGGGCTCAACTGGACTGTGGAGCAGACCATCAAGGATAACACCAATCTCCCTCTGGAAGCCCTTGGGATCCATTCGTCACCTGGGGTGGATCGATCAAATAGGTCCCACCTCCCTGCAGCAGGGGGTAGTGCCAGAGAATTCCATCATTAGCAGGGAGGGATCGGACCATGACAGAGGAGGGACTGAAACTCTCCCCAGTTCCAGATCACATTGCCACTGCTCTGACAGAAAAGCTAGATCACATGTACAACCCCTGTCCTGTGCCCTAGATGATTTTGGATAGGCCCAAATCTTCAACTGAAACAGCTCTTAAATATTCTTAGCATGATAAATGAAACACGTGTTCAATATACAGTATATAAATATTTCAAATTTGACTTTAAAAGTTTTAAAACACAACAGTTATTGTCTTAGACAATTCCTGGATTACACAAGCAGTACAAATGTCATTTGTGGTCTTGCCTTTTTAGTTCATCAGAAGACATCCATCCACCTCCAGGCAAGAATTCTAAAGATCAAATCTTCCACAACTCCTTTACATTAATGATACAACATGGAGCAAAGTTACACATGTCTTTGACTATAAAGTATTATTACTGACAAAATCTCACAGCAATTTCAAATAAATACCTGACACTGAAGCTATCTTTAGCTGCTTTGATTGCTTGAAGATGTGAAGCAATTGCAGAGAGGACTTCTATATCAATCCGATTGAATTCATCAAAACAACACCACACTCCAGACTGAACAAGCCCAAAGAACAACTTTCCCATCATCTTAAATAGAACGATTTATTAAGCATGACAAGTGGGGAATAAGGTCCCATGCAATTTATCACCTAGCCCATTACTCAAAAGTAAAACAGTCACATCTGCCTTTGTTTAGTTATTTAAGAGTAAAATAGTTACTCTACATGCACTTATGGAAGAGTTCTCTATAAGTTCTGTTTAAAAGCCTGCTTTGTTGTCCAGTATTGCTCATTCCACTGTCTCTAAGGTTGTGCTCAGAGTCTGAGTAGCTTTTGGCCTGTTTCATATATCACTGGGTCTTTGGTTCTGTCCCAAATTGACATGATCTCTGCCAGCATCTAACCTTGCCTTGGTTAGCTGCTCTACAACTGTCCTCACCTGATGGTCTGTTGGGCCTTCTGTGGCTTGATTGCTTCAGCCTTGATGCTCAAGATATTAGTCCTCTCAACACCACTAAGCCATCTCTCACTGGCCTTTATGGGTAGGTTGCCAGGGTGAAGGAGGATGGGATTATTAAAAGGGAAAAAGCCAGAGACCATGCCAAGAAAGTGCCCGTGGCACATACGACAGCCATAGTGGTCATATTGGACTCAAATAGTAAATGAATGCTTTAGGCATTCTTAAAGAATTTAAACAGTGGGTGGCTACAGTCTGGTGCTTTGTTTGGAACTTCCTTCTACCATCTAAAAGATAAAGATAAAGATAAGCTAGTATGGTAGAAAGCATCTTGAAAAACTGAGGAGTGGAAGATAAACATCTCACTAGTTTGCTGTTGGAATAAAAGGATGCTTTGTGATGGGCCAAGCCCACGATGGCATCCAAAATGTGAGAATGTCTACAACATGCTCTAAAAATTCCAGATGTGCTAATCGTCCCAAAGGTTTGCCTACTCATGTTCTACATAATATCTTAAAATAAAACTGTTTTTCATACCTTATCATCCAAACCTTCAGAACAATTGTATGAAAGACAGAATTTTCCCAAAGCCTAGAGGTGAAAAAGTACAATATTGAGCAGAAGCAGTTTCATTTATTTAACTAAAAATTCTGATTAAGTATTAAATATTAAATAAGATCATATGCTTTCAGTTCAGATTTATCACACACATTTTATTATTTTACACCTTTCCTAGAGGGAGAGCTATGTTTTCAAACTTGAAAATGCAAATGTAATTTTGAAAAAAAAGAAAAGAAAGCTATTAAAGAAATAGGATATATGTATAAATGAAAGGGATGCCTTAACAAAGAAAAAGAATCTCTGGTAATTCAGAATGTCTGCTAGCATGAGCAAAGTATCTTTTCACCTTTAGATACACATGAGTTTTGTGGTATATTATAAATTTTTGGTACTTTGGTACATAAGCTTATGTCAAAAAGCTATTAAATTCTTTGGTAATGTTAATGTTACATATAGCTACTTTTCTAAGACAGTCACATTTAAATTGTTTGTATATTTTGAAGGTTCAAAAGAAATCACATTCTAAATGCAGGATTTAAAATAAACATTAGCCTGACTGCTTGAGGATCAGAGAAAGTACATTTAACTAACTTGCAATGAGACAATGAGGTCTGCCTGCCATCACTATAGTATTAACTGTGGATTCAAGCTAATCCCTAATCTAAACACAGTACATGACAGAACATCACATTTATTTTTCATAGCTTCATAATTCCTCCAAAGCAAAACAAGAAAGTATTATTCACTAGCAGTCAACAGTCAATGCACTGACAATATACAGTAAAGAATGAGAGCAATTTCATTTCATTTCCAAACAGGTGGATTCAGTTTAGCCTATGTAAACTGATATTAATATTGAACAGAAAAAGTTAAACTCCACTATCTTAGTGATTAACAAAGTAAAATTGCTGATCTCCTCAAACAGCTGTTTAAAAGTTAATTCTATTTGGCCCAAAGATGTAAAATTTATATTCAAGGTCACCTGTAATGAAAAGGTAGATATTATTTATTTAAATAAATTATTTATTTAAAGGTAGACATTATTTATTTAAATAAATTATTTATTTAAAGCAGTTTTACCTCATTCTTAAGCACTTCCTAAAGTGGCTTACAAAGTTTGATGTTCATCTTTAACATGTTAAGTATTGAGACTTAGGTATGTAATAAAAATAAGAATCTTTATGCCAAAAAAAAAAAAAGTTACAGCCAGCATCAATATAAGAAAAGAGAGCAAAGGCACCATTATTGAAAGTGAGAAAGGCACATCCATATTTTATCGGATACTTGACATATCAAGATGAAAGGGGGATAAGAAGTGTACACCAGATGAATGAGGGCTGGAGGGTTCTGGCAGTCCCTTAAGACCTGCCTCTGTTCCCTGGCTTGAGATTAGTGTGTCTGTAAAAGCCCTGTCGAGTCTTTTTTCTGAATGTTGAGAGTGCTATTTTAATCCAAGCAGTCATGTTGCTCTAGTTGTGTTTTTTTAACTTATGTATTGGATAATTAAAGAGAGGTTTTTGGGAGTTAAGTAGCCTTAACAAATCTAATAAATAAATAAATACCTAAGTGGCAGCTTGTAAATCAGGCTTGTGCAAGGCAACTTAGCACCCAACAGATTATAAAAGATCTGAAATAAAAGACCTCAGTGTAGCCTCCCTGAGCAGTTAGAGAATCCTCATGCTCTTGGACTAGATGCTTGGCAAGCTCTGGTTGCAAGAGTTAGGTGAGTGAATGGAAGAATGAATGTAAGAGTGAAAGTGAGGGCAGTGAGTATTCTATTTCAGTAAAGATTAGTAACACATGGAAGTTTGTGCTCATAACTCACTAAAAGATCCTAAGCTGCTTCTCTAATTAGCACTTAGGGAAACTAGGGAAAGGAATCCCACTGAGTGCTGTGTGTATGTTTTTTCTAAATAAATTCCCTTCCCCTCTTTAGATAGCTGTGCAAGATTCATTCCATCAAGAGGATCAATCACAGTCACTTGTGGACTGCTGATTAAAGCAAGGGAGAGGAGCTAGAGCACATGCTAAAAGAAGAGTGCCAGAACTGTGTTGTCCTGAAATACGTATTTGCTATTAATTGTGTACAAAGCATACCATTACACCTTTTATAAAATGCATATTTTGAATAGAACACAGCACTTACTTTTGACAGATCTTTAACAGTCTCCGATTTTCCTGTACCAGCTGGACCAGCAAGACAACATCCTAGATTTAATTGTAGAGCTCCAGTAATGGATAACCAACATCGATCAGTAAGAGGAGTGATAACCAATCGTGGAGAGCAGCCTAAGTATTCATAACCATATTCAAAGGAAGCATAACCTTGAATAACTGTGCACAGGTTGTGTTCATGCCATTTGTAATGCAATTGCCTAAATGAAACATGTTTGTGTAGCAGTTAATGACTAGTAAAGATTATCAAATATTATAGCTATCAGATTATACAGGCATAAAAAGCCATAGTGTGGTAAGAAATTGAACTTTTCAGTATTACAAAAATCAAAAATCTATTAAGTACAAAGTTATGTTAAAAGGTTAGGAAAATGAGGTGTCTGAAAGCCAGTGTGGTATAGTGGTTAAAATACAAGACTAGGAATGGGGACTCCCAGGTTATAGTCCTTCCTCAGGCATGGAAGCTAGCTGGATGATCTTGGGCCACTCATTCCCTCTTACTCTTAAATAGTATCAGGCTTTGCAAACAGTGTCTGAAGAAGAAAATGTGTCACATCATGCACTGATGGTTTTGCCATATGAACTACATGAGCACAGTGGAAAACAAGTGAGGACAAACTCTAAGAAAAGTGGAAAATGAAGTATCTAAAATCAAGATTTTATTTTAGTGAGAGGAACATGAACAAGCTGTTCAAGCATGAACATACTGCATTGGCATGAGTTTCACCTCAAGATAAAAGGAAGCTTTTATGCATAATATACAACTCCAAATGTCTTATTTATGTGAAACATTTTTCTGAAATTCACATTCAAATGTCAAGATAAGCCAGATTTCTAAAAAAAGTCCTGGTTCATTGGAAAAAGCAGTGTAATTGTATGCTGCGCAATTGCTCTTTGCCTTTTCCAACCAGTGAAAGATACCACCCTTTCCTGCCAGTGGTTTATGGTAAGTTATAGTTATGCTAAACATAATAAGAAAATAACTGGTTCCTGTTCTTAGTACTTTCAGAGAAGGAGGAAAAAAGTCTTCATTTCCACTTGCTCCATACCAGATGCATCTGTTCCCAAGGACTGGAAAATAGCCAATGTGACCACAATTTTTTTAAAAGGATCAAAGAGCAATAAATGAAACTATAGGCTAGTTAGCTTGACATCAGATATGGAGAAAACATCTGAAAGCATCATTAAATATGCAAAAACATAGATCCCGCCTCACTGAAGAGAAATCAACACAGCTTCTACAAAGGTACTGTATTTGTCCGACTACTGTATAAGACGATACTTTTTTCTAAAATCCTTATGCTAAAAATTGAAGGGCATCTTATGCAAGGAAGTAAGC